TCGCAGAGGTGGCCGCAGCCGGCGGGGCAGTGGGAGCTGGTCTCCAGCCACTTCATGATGTGCTGCAGGTGGCCGCCGTGGCTGCAGCCCTGGCACCAGACAAAGAGCCCCTTCACCACGTGGTGACACACGGCACACATGCTGGCACACTGCCGACACCTGCACGGGGACATTCGGGTGGCTGTGGGCAGGGAGAAGAGGGAACAGGGGCACCCACCCCGCCCCCCTGTCCCCAGGAGCCCCTCTGGGCCCCTCACCTGTCGCAGATCCAGCCCCTGTTGCTCATGGGCCGCTTGCAGTTGCTGCAGTTGACGTGCAGGGTGGTGGAGGCCTGGTTGAGGCAGTTGATGGCACGGCAGGTGCTCAGCTTGATCACCTCGTTGGAGATGTTCCAGAGCTGGAAGCGCTGCAGCAGGTCGATGTAGGACGTGTACCAGTGCTCCTGGGGAGGGACAGCCACACACAGCTGAGCCTCCACAGCCACCCTGACACCCCTCAGGAGCCCAGCCCTGCATCCCAAAGGCAAAATTCCCCTGGGGGGCTCAGCCTGCAGAAAAAGAGGCTCAGGGGGGGCCTTCTCACTCTACAATTCCCTGACAGGAGGGTGGAGCCAGGTGGGGTCGGGCTCTGCTCCCAGGGAACAGGGACAGGACAAGAGGAAATGGCCTCAAGTTGTGCTAGAGGAGGTTTAGTTTGGATATTGGGAGAATTTCTTCATGGAAAGGGTGGTCAAGCACTGGCACAGGCTGCCCATTGCAGTGGTGGAGTCACCATCCCTTGAGGGGGATCTAAAAGATGTTGAGGTGGCATTTGGGGACATGGTTCAGAGGTGGCCTTGGTGTGCTGGAGCAATGGTTGGACTCGATCTCAGAGGCCTTTTCCAGCCTAAAGCATTCTGAGACCCTCTGATCCCTGCAGTGGGAGAACAGCTCTGCAATGCTGGGGAACTGGGGAAACCCAGGGCACCAGGAATATTTCTCTCTATGCTCTGGGGTGCCCTGACTTTGACCCTCATTCATGGAGAAAGTTTCCCAGACTTCAAGATAGACTAGAATTCACAAAAGTGTGAAATAGATTATAGAGAGCAGTGTAGGTGTGTCACTTGGTGAGAAATTGAGGTTTGGGGATTTTTAGTATGTTGTGGATGGAAGCAAGATGGAGGCACAGGGTGTCATCCTGGGTTGCTTCTTCATGTTTCTTTTTCCTTCTTCTCCATGGGTGGCATTTTGTAATTGGGTGGAAAAATCTGCATTGTGGGCTCTGTGGGACCAGTTATTGGGTAAAAAGGGAAAATAATCCAGGTGTCAGTTCTTAATTGGATAGTTTAGCTTTAAAAGACCTTGTAACGAAAGACTGGCCGTTTCTGCAGTGCTTTTCCAGTGCTCTGAGCCTGGTGTGGACAGCATGCAAAACTCTAGTTAAAAAACAAGAAAGAAGAACCTGAAGACCAAAAAGATCCAGTGTGTCTCTCTCTCCTGACACAAGATGGATCCAGGAGGGTCTCCCCCAACAGGGGAGCCCCTGGGAGGGCCCAGCCTCAGTCCCCTAAGTCAGAGAATTGGCAACAGGTACCCCAGAGCATCCTTCACTGCATCAGCAGGGCAAGGGCACCTCCCCATGCTGGCCCTGCAGAGCCCACCTTTGTAATTAAAAGAAAAGGGGGAACTGTGGAGGTTCTTGTTTATGGTTACCTTATCTAGAGTTTTGCACACTGTCCACACCAGGCTCAGTGCACTGGAAAAGCACTGCAAAAATGGCCAACAGTCTTTTGTTACAAGGTCTTTTAAAGCTAAACTATCCAATTAAGAAGTGACACCTAGATTATTTCCCCTTTTAACCCAATGTGAGAAAATAGAGATAGTGCAGAAGGTAATCTCACCCCTGAGGAGTTGCAGCTGTACTAATTACCAAGGATTAGGAACAGGCCTGCCCTTGATAGGCCACAGCTGTGACTAGTAAGGAAGAGTGCTATAAAAGAGTGGGTTAGCTGGTCCAGGAGAGAGTTGGAGTTTGTTGGTTGTATGGTGAAGTAGAAGGAGTCAGTGCTGTGAGGAGGTGTGGAACTTTCACAATACGATGACAACAGCCCACCTCAACTCCCTGCCAGGACTCCTGGTGGGGCAGGAACCAGAACCCTGGAGCTGCTCACTCTGCCAGGGCCTGGAGGGGAAGGGATGTCCCCCAAGCCCAGGCAGGACTCAATCCCTAGCTGAGGGTCCCAGCGAGGCGTGGCCCTGCCCCGGGGGCTGTACCTGCGTCTGCTCATCGATCTCCTTGCGGATGCGCTCCCCCAGCACGATGAGCACGGACACGGCTGTCTGCACGTCGCCCTGCTCGGCGTAGAACAGCAGCGTGTCGCGCACGATGGGGTTGAAGAAGTCGGAGGGCAGGCGGTTCTCGTAGAGCGAGTGCGAGATGGAGATGAGCGAGAAGGACTCCACGGGGGTCAGCGACACCGTCTCGGCCTCGTTGCCGCTGACGTGAGGGGAGTCGGCCTTGTCCTGCAGGTGGTCCAAGGCTGACGGGTTGTCCACGATCTCGTGGCGCAGGGGGAAGGCTTCCTGGGGAAGGCTGTACTCCTGCTCTTCAGCTGCAGGGATGAGCAGGAGAAAACCCAGCTGTGTAGCCCTGCATTTCTCTTCACAGAGAAAAGCAAGGCACAGTTCTTCCCAAGAACAATTCTCACAATTTGCTGTGCCTGTGTTTGTGCCAAAGCAGAATGCAATATGGAGATTGTTTACCCAAAGTCATGGTTGTCACAGACACAGACATCTTTTATGAAAAATCTTTTTTTTAAGATTTTTCCTCTTAAGAAGCTGAGAGGCCTCAAGAACAAAATGTAAACAATGATTATCTGCTGCTGTGGAATGCAACAGGTGGATCTGTGATTGGTCTCATGTGGTTGTTTCTAATTAATGGCCAATCACAGTCAGCTGGCTCAGACAGAGAGTCCAAGCCACAAGCCTTTGTTATCATGCTTTCTTTTTCTATTCTTAGCCAGCCTTCTGATGAAATCCTTTCTTCTATTCTTTTAGCATAGTTTTAATGTAATATATATCATAAAATAATAAATCAATCCTTCTGAAACATGGAGTCAGATCCTCATCTCTTCCCTCATCCTGGGACCCCTGTGAACACTGTCACACGTGGTGTTTTGTTTCCTTGGCCTATCAGGGCCAGGTGTGTGTGTGTGTGTGTGTGTCAGGAGTGTCAGGTGACAGTCACGAGATTCAGTGCAGTGTGTGCAGGGTTGAGTGCTTGGCAGATTCAGTTTTAGATGTATAGAATGATATAGTGTAATAAAGTAATTAATTAGCCTTCTGATATCCGTGGAGTCCTCCTCATCATTCTCTCCCCTCGTTGGTGCCATCACAGCACTGGGACAGACAACACCTCCCCTGTGTGCTCACCGTGTGGGTTCTCATGGTCCATCATGTACAGGTCATCCTCGTCTGCCTCCACATCCCCCAGCAGATAATCCGCAGGGACGTCGCTGCCCTCCGTCTCCTCATTGTCTGCGTGCCCAGGGAAAGAGAAATCAGCTCATCACACCACTGGATCCACCTCCCAGTGTCCTGCCAGGCATGCCAGGCTGTGCCTGAGCCACACAGCTCAGTTCCCCTCCACTGTCACCCCATATCATGGGGGAAAGCTGCCCTTTTGCAGCGCCCTGGGGCTCGGTGCCCTGCACCCCGGGGCTGCAGCACGTGCAGCCACCCCAGTTCACAGGATGAATGCCCCAGTTTGTGCCCTGTCTATGGCTGAGGGGGAGGAGCTGTGGGACTGGACTGGGCCCCCCAGGGGTGTTACCCTCGTTGTTGATCAGGGTGGAGGAGGAGTCCATGAGGATGTTTTCTGTGCGGCTCTCTCCTTTGCTGCGGTCCAGCCTGGACTCGCTGCCCAGCCCAGCAGGGATATCTTTCAGGTTAAAGCTGGGGGAAAAAAGCCAAATTTAACAGTCAGAGGAGTATAAAGTTTCCATTTCAGCCAGCAAACGGCCTGGATACAGGTGTCCAGTTGCAATTTGAATGGAGAAACATGAGATACAGCGATATCCCTTTGTGGGCAGAAGCCACCAGTCTCCACTGTGTGACTTACAAATAAAGACACATTGTGACCGTGGTCACAGCCCTTCCTCCAAGCCTGGTGGCACTGCACATGCACTGCTAAGGTCTCCCTGAAGAATTCCAGAGCTGAGCAGGCTCCTGGCTCCATTTCCCTCCCCTCAGAGGCAGGTGAGCAGGAGCTGCCTGGCTCCAAGGTGCTTGGCTGTTCCTTATGCATCACCATGCCTGGCCTTCACTGAGCTGGAGAGGGGAAGGGCTGGGGCTGGAGCAGAGCCCAGCTCCCCAGGCTGCTGCCTGCCGTGCCTCAGACAGGCACAGCCACCCAGCTGGAGGCAGAGCTTGGTCAAGGACACTGCTTGTTTCCTTTGGTGTTATTTGAGGATGTGTCACTCACTGTGGGAACCCGGTCCTGCAAGGTCTGACAGCTCATTTGGAATCCTCACCCCACACGTTTATGTCATTGAGAAGAGGAAAAACAAGTTTTCCTGCTTCATCAGCCCACAACGGGCTGCTGGCAGAGCTGGGCTGTGCTCTCCCTTGGAAAGGCTCCAGAAGAAAACCTCTGCACAGCAGCAGTTCCAGCTCCAGCCATGAGACACCTCCTCCACTCCCAGCCCTTGATCACCATCACTGCCCTGGGCACTGCTGAGGCCTCACCTCAGATCCTGGGGTCACTTTTGGGGCCCTCATGACAGGAAAGACATTGAGGGGCTGGAGTGTGTAGCTGGGGAAGGGGCTGGAGCACCAGGAGGGGATGAGGGAGCTGGGAAGGGGCTCAGCCTGGAGAAAAGGAGGCTCAGGGGGGACCTTGTGGCTCTGCACAGCTCCTGACAGGAAGGGGGAATTAGGGGAGTTGGGCTGTGCTCCCAGGGAACAGGGACAGGAGAAAGGGAAATGGCCTCAAAATGTGCCAGGGGAGGTTTAGGCTGGATCTTTGGAAAATTCCTTCATGGGAAGGGTGGTCAGGCACTGGCACAGCTGCCCAGGGCAGTGGTGGAGTCTCCAGCCCTGCAGATGTTCAACATCATGTAGATGTGGTACTTAGGGATTTGGTTTAGTGGTGGCCTTGGCAGTGCTGCTGGGGGAATGATCTCAGAGGACTTTTCCAACGTTAGAGATCCTGTGATTCATGAATTCAGTAACTGCAAAGCTGGTCCCAGCCCCACGCCCCACCACAGGCCAAACCTTGGTTGAAGGAGATAAGAGAGCAGTGTGTTGAGGCTGCAAAGACTGAGGCCAGGCTGGCCACACCAACATGGGAAATGGCTTTGTTCAAACAATGACAACATGCCAATCAGCACAGCCTGAGGCTGATGGAGAGCTGTCCCTGCTTGCTCCCTGTGTCTGGGGCAGGTTAGTTATTATATGGAAACTGTTCCCTGTGAGGGTGAGCAGGCCCTGGCACAGGGTGAGAAACTGTGGCTGTCCCTGGATCCCTGGCAGTGTCCAAGGGCAGGTTATATGGGGCTTGGAACAACCTCTGATAGTGGAAGGGATGAGACATCATTCATGCCCCCTGCGGCAGGGATGGAATGAGATGAGATTTAAGGCCCCCTCCAACCCAAAGCATTCTGGTATTCCATGATGTGATTCCATAACCCCATCCCAGCCAAGGAGCCGTTCCCACTCCCCCCTCATGGAGCTATCCCCCTCATCCCATCACTCCCTGCAGCTCCTGTACCTGTTCATGAGCGGCAGGGCAGTGCTGCCCTTCCCCATGCTGTGGTTGAGGTTGGTGGACGACACGGTGCCGAGGCTGGAGTAGATAATCCTCAGCATCGTCCACGTCTGAGCCACCTGTGTGGAACAACTCCCTGTGAGACCTTCCCAGGCCAGCAGCCCCTGCAGCAGCACCCTACCCCTACCCCTACCTGTTGCGGTGTGTTGCAATGTCCTGTTTTACCTTCTCCCTTCCCCCTCGCCCCTCGCTGAGTGTGCCCTGTCAATCAGGCTAACATACCAGCAAGGCGTCGTGTGATAGGTGTCCCTAGTCCCTTGAGACCCTGCCCCTTCACCTGGTTGGTGGCTCACCTGTCCCCTCCCCTTCCCCTGCCCTGAGCTTAAAATGTTAATGAGACCATGCGGCCTCTATTCTGTTGGAGGAATTGCCCCGGTGCAGACCTCTGCACCCATGGAATAAACATCTGGATATAACCCTCCAGCAGAATCCACTCCTTCCTTCTCTTCACCATCGCCAGAAGCTCTCCCCTGAGGTAAACGGAGACCTGACAAGCCTGGACTTGCGCCTGTTCCCCGCTACACTCTCAGCCAAGGTATCTCTGGGGTAAAACACCACAGTGCTGGCTTTGGCCCAGCAGCGAGGGTCAGAACTGGCCCAGGCACCATCTAACTGGTTATATTGGGATTCATAATCCAATACCTACCCCTACCCCACAGCTCACCTGGTTGCGCTCCAGCCCCTTGGCCACCTTGGCGTTGTGGTCGCAGAGCTCGGCCAGGGGCCGGCCGGCCAGCGCGTACTGCTTGGCCGTGTGCACGAACCAGTCCATGCTGCCGCTCTCCACGTCCGTCTCGAACACGCTCAGGGCGCTGGAGGACGAGATGTACTCAAACTGCTCTGTGGGGTCCAGCTTGCGCTTGAAGAAGATGGGGTGGCGCCGGTCGCCGATGTAGGGCTTGCGGTTGGAGTCGGAGGAGATGAGGCTCTCCTTGGCGGCGAAGGCCAGGTCTCCGTAGAGGCTGTAGCACAGCCCCTCGGGGTTGGCCCGCTCGATGGGCTGGCTGGCGTCCTTGAAGATGTGCTGGTAAAGGGTGCTGTCCTTGGAGCCCGAGAGCAGGAAGTAGGGGTCGTGCAGGTGGCGCCACACGATGCCCGTGGTGACGTCCTTGTGCTCCTCGAACATGGCCGAGGGGATGAAGGGGCGGCGCACGTCCCACACGTAGATGTTGTGGTCCACCATCATGGAGCAGGTGGCGATGTGGTGCTTGCACTCGGGGCGCCACTTCACGCGCGCCACCGAGGCGATGGTCTGCACGCAGTAGATCTCCTTGGCCCGTGTCGTGTTCATGTCCCACACCTTCACCATCTTGTCGCGGCCGCCCGTGGCCAGCCAGCCCCTGCGACAAGGATGATCAGTGGTGTTGAAAATTGCAATGCAAGATGTTTTTAATTGCCATCTGTATGGCAGATTATCTTTCGTCAAGTGGGCAGTTTGTCTTATCTCTCTCCCGGAGTGACCACAATAACAGGCTATTGAATGTCACTGCATGGCTGATAAGAACTACAGCATCCCACTGGGAGATGTGAGCCCAGAGGGAGGAGCCAAGCATTGCTACCCAGATATAATCCAGAGGTTTTTGAGACACCAGCACAGCTTCTCCACTGGATTCCCCAGAGGAACAGCAGCTGCCTCTTCTTCCACCGGATCTTCAGAGGAAGAACACATCCTTCTCTACACATCCCCCTGCTCCAGCAGAACCACCCCTGACACTGCAGGAGGGCTGAGCCACAATTCCAATGGGACTGCCACCAACACCCTGACCCACAGGGTGTCAGGTTGGGTTCTGACTCTGTCAGTGTTGCTCTAGTGTTCTGCATTGTTTATTTTATCATTTTATTTTTCTTCCCTGTTAAATAATTGTTATTTCCTACTCCCATACTTTTGCCTGAGAGCCCCTTAATCTAAAATTTATAGCAATTCAGAGGAGTGGGAAGGGTTCACATTCTCCATTTCAGAGGAGGCTCCTGCCTTCCTTAGCAGACTCCTGTCTTTCTAAACCAAGCCAAGTGGTCACCTCTCTGTTCCCACTGCAGCACAGAAATGCTCACAGTACAGGTGTGACCACATCCACTCCACAGGAGGCAGCTGGGCTGCAATCCCATCCTCCCATGAGCTCCCCTGGCATCTCCACTCTGCAGCAACCAGGTCAGGCAGCACCTCCTTCCTGCCCCCAGTTATGGCCCTGTGCCTCTAGAGCCCATCCCAGTCAGACCAGTTCCCTCTGGCTCAGATTTCCACTGGCCAGGCACAGCAGAGAGGAGAAGGCCATTCTGAATGTGTTTCAGTGCCTCTCTAAGATCAGCAGCAGAGGCAGCACTGCCTGGCAGGGAGTGAGGAGGGACCTGCACACTGTAGCAGCTCCTTCCAGATCCTTCCCAGCAACCTCCCAGGAAAGGCAGGAGGGAAACATGACTGAACACAAGTGAGCTGTGTCCCTGAGCAGCCAAGCAGTGTCTCCCTCAAGCTGAGCACTGGAGCAAGAGGCTGCTGTGACACTGCTATACACAACCATAAGACATCCAGTGTCAAAATCCCCTAATTTATCAAAAAACAAACCTCAAACACTTTTACACCACCCCAAATGCTCAGAGCAACAATCACTTCTACACTTCTACCTTCCAGCAACATCCCATCCACTGACACAAGGGGACAGGCTATCCCAGACCATGCTTTCCCCCACAAAATCCCAATCCTGTTTTCAGGGTTTATCTTGTCCTGCAAGGCCAGGTGGCCGGCAGGGGCAGGCCCCACACCCACCTGTCCTCTGGGTGCCAGTCACAGCAGAAGACAGGCCCGTTGTGGGCTGTGAACATCCTCTCGTAGCGGTCGGGCCGGCGGATGTCCCACAGCTGCACGTTCCCGTTCTCAAAGGTGGCAGCAAAGGTGAAATAGTCCCGGATGCTGAACTGCACATCACGCACGCTCTCCGACTGGCCTGGGAGGGACACAAGGTAAGAGCTCCACAAAGCTAAAAATCCCACTGGGAGAGCAGAGAGAAGGTAGCAGGGAGGGCTGTGACTGCCTTCCATCTCCCACACAGACCCAGCTAGTACTGAGAGGCAAGAAAAGGCACCAAAATGCCGCTCAGCTCCTTCTTTCCCTGCTCTGGGCATCATACTCTGAGCAAACCCTCCTTTAGGCAAGAGGAATGACAAAACCCCCAACCCCTGCCTCTGCTAAGGAAAGCAAGGAAAGGACAAAGCTCCCAAACTCTGCTTCCCCACAGGGAAATGAGACAACAAGAGCCACGTTTGTACCAGAGAAGGTGCTGACAGAGTCCTTCTTGCGCAGGTCGAAGCACTTCATGTAGCCGTCCTGGGAGCCGCTGAGCAGCATGTACACCTCGGTGGGGTGGAAGCACACCTTGTTGACAGTGCGCTTGTGCTCCGTGAACAGCTGGTCCTGCTTGTTGCGGGACGGCTTGCCCAGGTTCCAGGTGACCACCACGCCGTTGGT